TATATACAGTGCGTTTATCTTAGATTGGAACATACGATTTTGCATGCAATGTTATTTCCCTATGTTCCATTTTAAAAAAAACGCATCAACCTGAAGGATATGCGCGGTTCACAACTAAAACAAACGTATTAGAAATTTGCGAGTCACATTTGAACCAGCCTTTATTTTTAGGTTATGTACGTGTACGGTCGAAAGTCGAAGAAAAATTGTTTAATAATAAATAAAATGAATTTAATTATAAGTTATAACAAATGTTCAAAGTGCCCTCCTTCACATTCCAAGCAGTACCCTAACCGATTGCGAAATTCCTGAATACTATTTCGTAAAAACGTAGGATTCATTTGATCACATGCTGTTAGTATTCGGGTTTGTAACTCTTGCACATTCTGAATGGGAACATGATTATAAATTTTCGATTTTAGATATCCCCAAAGGAAAAAGTCATTTGGCGACAGATCGGGAGATCGTGCTGGCCAAGATATTGGACCAAATCTACCGATCCAACGGCCCGGGAATGTTTCATTGAGGAAACTTGTCACTGGTCTCGTAGAATGTGGTGGAGCCCCGTCCATTTGAAACCATGGGTTGTTTATATTCAACTCCTGTAACCGTGGAATAATGCGCGATCTAAGTAATTCGAGAAACTTTGTTGAATTTAGAGTTCCATCGATGAAGAACGGTCCGATTAGAATATTGTTTATTATCCCGGCCCAAACGTTAATTTTAATATTATATTGCGTATGCGTTATGTTGTGTACATGATTATTAGTTTGTGACCAATATCTAATGAAGAAAACGGTATCAGTAAGATTTAATATGGAGATAGGTACCTACCGATAGTTTTGAGAATTTACTGTACCGTTCAGAGAAAAAGATGCTTCATCTGTAAACATTATTTTGTGCAATATTTCCTCATTATTGTTTAACAAATTAAATATTGTTTCGCAAAAGTCTGTGCGTTTTATTTTATCATCATCAAACAGTTGTTGGTGATTTTGAAATTTGTACGACTTGTATTTAAATTTCTTTAGCGTTTTAAACACGGAAGTTCTAGAAATTTCAAATTCCTTGGCCATTAAACTTAGTGATGCTGTTGGGTTTTCTTCAGCATAGCACAAAATTTCTAATTCCAATTCTTCATTAAGGACATGGTTAATTTTTGCCTTTTTTGTGTGAAGATTTGCAACACAGCCATCCCTATCAAATTTTGCTATAACTCTGTGGATCGTTGAAATGGATGGTATTTGTTCGTCAGGATACTGGACTGCAAGTAAATCGCGGACTTGTCTTGTACTGTTTAGGCCTTTGTATAAATTTATAATTGCAATTTTCATTTCTTTAGGCAGCATTTTTGAATTTATTGCAGGGCGGTAGATTTAAAGGTGACAGTAGTACATTGCGCCTACTACCCATTTGAACTACTCCTTCAGGTTGATGCGTTTTTTTTAAAATGGAACATAGGGAAATAGCATTGTATGCATAATCGTATGTTCCAGTCTAAGATAAACTCACTGTATATATAATACATAAAACAGTGTTGCCGCTATGAATGTTTTGTCATATTCTCAACAATTACTATGCATTAATCGCTCATCTTTTTCCTCATCCATCGGTATGCTGGGATACGGCTTTCGTGATTCGGGAATGCCTTTTATTTAGTTAGGTCAAACGAAGCTTAACTGTTCTTGTAATAAAGTGGACAAGAAAGGGTGCTTTATAATCGCAAATAAAAAGAAAAATAATTCTGAACTCTTATAAACAAACTTTATTAAAATAAGAATAATAATAATAAGAAATCCAATAAAATTCATGCAAAATACGTGAATATGTACCTCTTTACGACTTTTGAGCTCTTCCGAATTAAAACTATTGAGCAGCAACGCCAAGAACAAATTAAGCACCATAAAATTTCCCATAACGAGCGTTGGTAGAAATACTGCGAAGCAAGTGCCCGGGCCCTACAAATAGAGAGAAAAACAAGTATAAATTGATTTACTTTTAATTTGGTTCTTTAACTTTACTTCTGTCGTTTCTGCTCGCATGCAGTCCCAAAGAGGCTCGATCCACTCGCCGCACAATATCCGAAAAATCATCATAAACGAATGGAAAAAATCGGTAAAGTTCCACCTGTAACAATAAAACATTAAAACGTTTCCGCTGTTAGGAGTTGAAATTGAATACTTTCCTCGGAACGGGATCCGGATAAAATTTTTCAGGCGTATAATCCTTCGAAAAAAGTTGCATTCCTATCACAGCAAATATGTATATAACAATTACTAAAACGAAAGTTAGGTTTCCTAAAGCACCGATTGTACTAATGATAATACTTAATAAAACTTTCATAGTTATCCACGATTGCGCTAATTTAAGAACGCGCAACTGAAAATAATTCTTACGTTAATTACTATTCGCATGTAAAGGCACGGTCGTTACCAATCGCAAGCCTCGAAGCACCGACAGCCCGTCGACAAGCTCGAAAATTAAATCTAGGACACTTGCGGATACTATAATTAGATCGAAAATATTCCATCCATTCTTAAAAAAGTCCTTGCTGAGCGCCATCAGTTTCATTGTACATTCTAAGGTGAAAATGGAAGTAAATACCTAAAAATAGAGTAAATAATACATATTGTGGAAACCTTTTGTGGTAGGTAATGGGAATTACGTAGCATACAGGGCCAACGGAGGTAATACGCAACATAGTTATGATAATTGTATGTTCTTATTTGTAAGATTACATTACTTCAAACAATCCTACGTTTACGCAAATGCTTACGTTAGTGTGCGTTTAAATAAACGTATACGTAAATATTTCATAAACCGTAACTCGTACATATCCGTATCGTTTCCGTAAATTTACTTCGCTGTTTACAATAAACCATAATAAATACGTAACTTTGAAACATTTTCAACCTTTGCGACTATGCCCAAGACTTACATAACGCTTACATATACGTACGTAAAAATTACGTTCATTGTAAACACCTTCGTATGTTTCTATACAGTTCAACTTTGCGAAATGTTTACGTTTTATGTATTTCTTACGTATACGTTCATTATAAACGCACACTTAAGTTTACGTTCATGCTAACGAATATTACTATTAATTGAAATTCACGGAATGTATCATGGTTATCTAGAAATTTAACGAATGATCGGTGAAATGCTTGTATACCCGATATGATCAGGCACACTCTGGTTCACTTACGTGATACTTGGCCTTGGTGAAATTGGGATTACTAATAGTGAAGGTCGTTAGATCGTGGTCTAAACTAAAAACCAAAGTCACTGAAGGTCAAGCGGTGGAATTCGTTCCTGAGCTCAATGTCACTGAAGGTCAGTCGATCGTGGTTGTTGTCTAAACGATAAACCAAAGTCATTGAAGGTTAAATATACACGCGTTTCTCCCTGAACTGCATGTCAGTAAAGGTCGTAGACGAGCATTCTTTCCTGAATTAAAGCAAAATCAAGGTCACCGAAGGTCAAACGTAGACGCGGCGATTCCAATGTGACTGAAAATCCCACTTGAAGGTGAACTAGAGGGAGAATTGAAGATAAAATAGAGAGCAAAATTCAAGGTGAAATAAAGCATTATTCTCAGCTCAAACAACATTATCGAGTTTTAAAACAAAGGGTGTATTGTTTTCGGGCTCAAGGTCAAACGTGTTTCAATCCTTCGAATCTAAATATATCCTAATGGCGAATATGTAGATAAGGATGACGCCTTCTCCAACATAGTGAAGGAGAGCTTTGTAAAACCATGGCGCGGGATAGTTTTTGCGTCACATTCCAAAACGCCCGTTATTCTCGGAGAAATAAGATTAGTAGATACGGAGCCACCTATGCGAGACAGTCACGTGACGCGCCAGATGTGAGGTTCAAGCGTGGTCTAAACTCACTGAAGGTCATCGTCGTCCACACAAAGGGGAAAAAGTAACCTTGCGAGGTAACTCGAGAGGCCCTCTCGGCCCCCAGATGTCCCGCTGTTGGCGTGTTGTGGTACGGACAATGTGCGTCCATTTGGCACGTTGTAGCTACTCTTATATGAATTTCCTCTGGCGATCGACTAGATTCTAGAGAGGATCCTTGCGAGGTTTTCTTGTCAGGCTTCGATGAGGGTGCGTGCCTGTTGGTCAGTTGATTATGCTTTACCCGTTCCGACAGTGTACTTCCACGACGGGAGCAGCGGTTCGCACGCAGTAAAGGTCCACTCAAACCGACGACGCGGGAATGTGGGCATGGGAACGTAGTCGGTGCGGTTGAGTTCATAATTAATATTAGTTCACTATCTGAAACTGACAGGCGGTTCGTTAGTTGGTTACTTCTCTGGTGCGATGCCCCACGTCTACGGTGAATATCAGTAGAAGACGTGGTCAGCTCATTAATTAACTCCGATCTTCCTTCGTCTTGTTTATTCACACAAGTGATTGGCTCTAAATCGGCGGTCTTTAAGGTAGGGATGGTAGCGTTTTATCGCCTTCATAATTTCTAAGCAGTTCTGATTATCTCTCGATGACGTTCTTCTCCCTGTGTCGATTTTTTTGTCATACGCGTGAGTTTTGTGAGCGGTTCGTGCGTTTCGACGGGTTATATACATACGACCACAGTTCTTATGCAGACTAGATACCGGCTACGACATCAGATTCTTCATTGAAGAAATCAAAAATGCCGTGAAAACAATTGCGGAAGAACAAACAAAATGAGGACTAGCAACGATAACGGCAAAAGCAACAAGGACAAATCGGCAACAATGACAACCACCAAAAGGTGCAACGACGATGAAAATTACGAAACGACGATGACGACAGCTGGAAACAAGTTCGAGATACTGAGAGCGTTAAGGTCCACTCAAACCGACGCGGGATGGATGCGGGATATATTTCTACAGCGGGTTATGCATCACTATGCATACTTACATATTCCGCTGTACAAGCATATTCCACATCCGTTTTGCTCTCACATTCCCGCGTCGGTGTGAGTGGACCGTTAGGCTTATAAATCCTAATACGTAACAGATTTATTTTCCTTAACCTATATCAATTATGTTAGTATGCAGTAAAAGTTGATACGTCAACCTTAACAATGTTCTTAATATTGTACACATTTCCTTATTATTATGCATTTCCTTGTTATTGTTGGATATTATATTTCCTTAATGTTAGCGGCCGCCTTAAATCTGTTCTAAATGAACACTGAGTGACGAAAACGACGAGGACGACATTGAAATTAAAACCAAACTTAAGACAACGATAACGACAAAAGTATCCCGAAGACGAAAAATAATAAACAAAACTCAGAACCTCTGATCCTATGGGAAAATGGAAATGGAATAAGATACAAAAAAAGCCATCTAACTGGCTAAGGCGAATCCCCAACGGAAAACGATTACAGGCAACTATTTGAACTTTTAAAGGACGGAGTGAAAACTATTTAAAAGTAGTGATCAGAAGAATCATGACCGATACCAACTAAGAGGAAATCGCAGAAAATCAGGGTGTCCCTGATGAAAAAAGGATATCTAGCACCCCTGTTCTCGCAAAGTTGCGTAAAGATTACCTAAAAGTGGATTTTATTAAACTTGAATTCTTCTACGTACAAGTGGGAAGTCTCCGCATCAAAACAGAAGTGATTCGGTGCCACAGATTCCAGCTGTTCTGATACGCTCAACGCAACTGCCACACGATGCATAACTGTGGTGCAGAACACAGCACGCATGAGCGCACAAAACCGCGAACGCTCCGAAATGCGCCAACTGCCAATGGGAGCATCTCTCACCGCATATAAGATATCCGATGGATTTTTAACATATACTTGGAAAACCGACCAACGAACGAACAAAAACTGAAGACACCACGATTTTTGGCAGAAGAGAACGGAATAAACGGAAAAAGAAAGAAAACGAGAGGCAATCAACTAACGAAGATAAATTGGTCACCGCTCTGAGAAGGATGGCATTATGGCAATTCAATTTGGCATTACGAACGCAAGAATGCACCAGAAACTAGAAGAAACTGATCAACATTTTTAGAAACAATGAATAATCAATGCTCGAAAACGAAGAGGCGTAGGGAAAGGAATTTTTCTTTCACTATGGATTTTGCGCAATTACTTCCAAGTACTCATTTAATTATATTATTCCCATTGTAAATCTTGTAAGAACATGTCAAATCGAACGCTTGACTTAGGTTGTTCGGTTTAGTAACGTTATTGATTTTTTCATCTTGCTTCCTTTTAGCACACCAAAGTTTGTTGTTTGATATAATCACTTTTTCAGCGCAAATTGTTTGTTGTTACGGTATTTGAATGTAAAATATACGTTGGAAAAGTGCAATAGATTTTCTTGATGCAGTGTGACGTTAATCTATTTCCTTTTGAGGAAGCTGCTGCGTTATTAACGAGCTCCTACCGAGTTTATAATTTTGCAGTGTCTGTCCGTCCGTTAGCACGATCACTCATAAACGAATGGACCGATTACGATGAAATTTTGCAGGTGGATCCTTTATCAAATTTGTAGATCGGAGTTCGTGAATTGGCAATGTAGCCCAAATAATAAAGTAGGCCCTTTTGACATCTCCGTTAGTTATGAACCGAATTGAATGAAATTCAATATGCCCATAGCTTTAGCCGTATAAAACGCAATTCCAAAATTTGAGCCTAATCGATCAGTATTCACACTGCCCTTTGTGCACTCGACCATTTACAGACCGAATTGCAAACTTTCTTATTTATGGAGAGATTTAAATGAAATTTGATACATATACACTTTAAATAAAAGTAAAACTAACATGCTATAGCCATACCCAGGAGCTCGTTTGCTATATTTGTTTAATTTATTTAAATCTCGAACTGTTTATTTACTAAAGTAATAAGATTACCTAACTGTGTGTTATTTTCCTATTTTGAAGTATCCTTTTTTGAGTCGAAGCAGTTAGCCGAGGTATACAACAAAACCAACTGAAAGAAAGTAACCGTTATATTCTGACGACGCAACTTGACAGCTATTGATTACGTAGACGTTAGTGTAGCAATATAAGCTGCTTAACTTTAAATTGGACGTAGATAAAATTGCTACCATTCAATAGATTTTAACGTTTTAGTTGCGAGTCCGGCAATATAAGAAATTCATAAACTAATACAGAAGAAATAATCGAAACCACGGCAAGAAACGTGCAGGCTTTACAAAGTTGTAGTCCGCATTATTGAAAGAAAGAAAATTAGTTTACGTACGTTTTTCCGTAATCGTAGGTATTTGAAAACTGCTAAAATGTCCAATACCAAAATAACCATCAATGCAAATAGCTTATAACGACAACTTAAATATTACCTATGCGCTATATGACAATGATGTGTAACTTTAGTTTAAAGTACGTTTACAGTCCGTCGCCCTGTAATTTACTTCGAATGCAACAAAAAATTGATGTGTTTTCGATAAATCGTTTTCAGTGCTACGAGCGGAATGTGGAATTTATTCACGTTTATTGTACTTACTTTGTTTCCGACATCGAGCGCTCTGTGCACGGATTCGCTCATACCGTGATGTTCTAATGCTAAGAACATTGTATTAAGTACAATGCATACGGTAATAAAAAGTTCGAACAAAGGATCTCGTACAATTTGATAAAGCCCCTGCTGAAATTGAAGCCAACTTGTATAATTTATGCAGCATTGTTCACAGCACGAACAATTGCGATCAGGTATATCATCTGCAACAAAATAGCGTAATGCAAAATTTTGCATAGACAAGCTCCCTGCAATTCTATTAGGGAGCACGAAAGCACTTACCTATAACAACGATGTGGGATAGATAATCTGCAGGTAAACTATACACGTTATGATTCTTTTTCTTACAGGTTCCAACCCCATTACACTTAATTACTTTAATTTGTTTAGGACTCAAAGTTAACGTAACTGGAGTAACATCTATTTTTTGGTGCTAAAAACGGACGAAAATTTATAGAGATCGTTTCGAATTTAATACCTACTCTTATAACGTTTGGAGTGTGAGTTGCGGCATCTTCAGAGGTAGCATCTGCTTCTTCGTGATCGTCCACCACCCCCGAATCATCAAATGAAGATTCACGATTATTACCCTCGCTATTACTACTTGTTTGTCGACTATGTAAACCGGGCCGTAATGGAGCTGCTACATTCAACAAGAGAACTACCGTTATTAAATAAAGTTCTAATTTATTTAAGTGTCTTCCCGGTTTCACATGCTTATGTAAAATGAGGTAAATGTAATTGAAACTTTCGTGGTTCACTTTGTGGCAAATGCTATCTATTCATGCACTCAGGTCTATTAAATTCCTAGGAAAATATTAAAGAGGCATGCGTTTAAAGTGAGATTATCAAGCTGATAGAATAAACAATACTTCGTACCGAGCCTATTGGAAGGGTAAAGTGTTTCGGGACACTTTGTTTCTGAAAGTTGTACGTGTTTGACTGGAAGAGCTAATGAGAGTGCTTGAGTTGTCGGCGAACCACGATTATGATGAGGACTGGGACTAGGACTTGGGGTAACCGACCTACGTTGCTTTGTTGGAGTTGGAGAATTCGATTCCTCTTGCTTTGGAGAACATATAGACCCGCTATTATTACCGCCGCCGCCCCCTCCATTACTGTTAGTTTTCGGCCGTTTTCTTCGCCGAGTCTTCTTTCGTGAATATGAAGCTAATAAAACACCCTTTCGTGCGTCGATTTTTTTCAACTTGTGCTTAGATAATTTTTTTACGTTAATATGCGAAGGATCGAAACTAAACGTGGAGTCTTCACGGTGATCCACGAGATCCTTTTTTCGTTCCTGAAACATACATCGTCTTTAATCACAGCACATTTCTCGTTTATTACGTAATGGTGAAACTGTGGCTTTCGCTAATTTATCAAAATGGAAACGAGATATGAAATTTGCAGCAGACTTGGAAACGATTAAACTTAGATCGCTTCACGTAACCTGACACTTAGGAGATCTTGCAGTCATTCTAGCATGCATAGAATTCCCACACAGAATAATTAATTTAATGGAGCTAAAGACTTGAGCAAGAATTTACTTGATTTTACTCTGCTAGATTCGTGTAACGACTTTTCATCATATCAAATTAGGTAAAACGCCAATTACTTTTTTGTCATCTAAAGTTATATTATATTGTTCACGTTAATTTGTCCAGCGCCGTAATATACACGGTGGGCAATGATAAGTTTGGGTCGATTACTGTTTCGGAATTCATAATGGTCATCCTAATCCTATGAGACCGTTTCATACAAAATATTTTAGTTTTAGACGACTAAATGGACTGTCCCAGGCGCCTAAACTACGTATATCTGTGCTAAACTGAAGTTGTTACGCCCCGGTAATAACCTTAACACAGCAAACTCCCACGAGGGCGAGCCTCGCGGCGGAATGAGCGCGGAATACTAGGCGCAACCTCCGTAAGAGGACGCCAGTAGATAAACAAGGATCTCATAACAAGTCAAAAGCCATTCAAGGAAGAAATACGAAAGCATCACGCAATCACCTCCTAAAAGCAACTCTATAACTCCATCCTCACATTTAACCTCCTCCTTAAAAACCTAAAATGCTACTACAACCATACAGTCCTTATTGAAACCAAACTCCCTGTTGCTTTTGATCTCCAAGAAACTCCAACACCTTTTCGGTGATCCCAACGTGTCCTTTACTCAACTGTCCGGTCCCAAACCCCAAACTCACACCCCTAAACCTCCATGTTTCTCCTGTGTGATCCGCAATGTCGACCGTAATCCTACAATCCATAGAATACAATACAATCCCTTGTACGAATCATTACCATAACCGCCGCCGTTCAGAGGTCATCCATGCAATCGACCAAGCATTCCTTAACCGAAGAACATGGGCACCCTTCTCCAGAAACGTGGTAGCGCTTTCCACTCCATACATGGTCATCTCCTAATTCCACAATCATGGATTTCGTCGTCGGTACCGTTAACTCCTGTGGCATACGCCGCAAACGTCTCCTCATAAAAAAACCTCCTTCTCTCCCAGCCTGCAAACTGACGTCAGATACGACTTTTATGGCGTCATATATTGGTCATTATTTAACGTGCCCCAAACATGCCGTCATAACTCAAGTGTTTTCGGTTCGTTATCGAACATCATTTTTCGATGACGTTTTAACGGCTAATTTTGGCGCGTTATTATTGTAGTCCAGTAACCTTGTTTCTGAAAATAGGGGGGTACCATGCGTCAAATCCGGTAGTTCTGATTTTTTGTGGGATTGCTTATGTTGTTAACCCCAATGTATAATCCAAGTTTTCGACATCGAGCGGCGAACGCAACATCGTCAAATATACTCAAAACCGGAATATTTTCAGGTTTTGACGGTTTTAACCCCGAAGGTCCCGTTTTTCGCCAGTAACTGTTCAATAAGTTTTCAAAGCAGACCAAATTTGATATAATTTAAATCCACATCCGTTTGTATAGATCTAATAGATTCTGAGATAATGCTTTTCAAAGATTGTCAATTTTTCGAATTCGAAAATCTTTCGCAATTTTTGTGGGTGACGTTTCTATTCTGATTTACACTGATGCCAAGAACACCAAATTTGTAGTAATCGATGTAGGTTTTCTTCTCCACAAAGTTGTGTGGTCTCGAAAATTATTTGGTTCGATATCTGACAGGTGCACTCGCGGTACATCACGACTCAATATGGCTCCAATGTGGCAATAGTTTTGGAAATTGGCTATTGGAAAAAAAGGTACGAAGAGCTTTGAGCGTGTTTGCAGAGCCAAATCACATTCATCTCCGGAAATAATCTTTGATGAAAAAACCATACCTTGGGTTTCTCAAGAAAATCTCTTGTCAAACGACAAAAACAAAATTCGGTACATCAACTTGCTAAAAACAAAAATGGGAAACCACGACATCTGAGTACTGCAGGCAGAGGACGATGCTGACATGCTCATTATCACTACTGTTATCACTGCTGCTTCTTCTTATGATGTAGTGTTGGTCACTGGTGAGGACATCGACTTGTTGGTAATCCTCACTGGAATCTCACACCGACGTAAAACTTTTTTCAAGAAGTGTGGAAGAAGCAAAGCTGCCGATGTAATCTTTTCAGACATCACCTCCTCAAAATGCACATCAAAACCGAAGCTTTTTTTATTCATTCATACATTCAGTGGATGTGATCCTGCTTTTTCGGCCAGGGGAAAATGAAAATAGTGTCCACTATACAAAAGAATCCGGACCTCGAAAGGAAGGCTGCGGTTTTCCTCAACGCCACTTCTACACCTGATGAGAAGCTTTGTATGGTGGCAACCCCGACTCCCAGAACCGTGACGAGCTCCGGTACCGAACTGAATCTCCACCACACAAGGCCTAGTCCCCAAACTGATGACGAGGAACGATGCCCCGCAAAACCTGTTGCGAATGATTTCGTGCGGTTGCAAGAAGGGTTGTGGGAACGTGTGAAGCTGCCGGAAGGCGGAGCTGAGGTGCTCCTCAGTATGCAACCACTGCAGCGGTATCGTGCGATAATGTGCCAGATATTGATAGATCGATTCCCCAGAAAGCGATGATCTGTCTGATCTAGAAATGGTAGAGGATGTATTGTGGAGAGATTTTACATAAAACATTGACAATGCAGCCCCAAACCATTCAAGTGAGGAAATCGAGGATGCTCAACCGGGCCCGTCCGGGAAAATAATATACTTATATGGAATATCATTTATACCTCTGTTTTCTTTTACAGCATTACAGAACAACAAAATATTGCTAAAAATTTTGGAAAAATCTATAAACTTTGAAAAGCATTATCTCGAAAACTATTAAGTCTATAGGAACGATCGTGGTCCCAAATTATAGCAAATTTAGTCTACTTTCAAAACGTATTCATTAGTTATTTTCGACAAACTGGTCCTTCAGGATTAAGATCGTCAAAAACAGAAAAAATCGAAAATTTCGCGGTTTTTTGTATATTTGACTATGTTGCGTTCGGTACCCGAGGTCGAAAATTTGGATTATATATTGGGTCAACATCGTACCCAACTTATAACAGTTTTAAAATAATATTAACATTTCTGTCCATCTTTCAATTTCCACCTGTATATTTTCTAAATTTTCTCGTCATTGAATGCGACCAATTTCTATTTACTTTTGCATTTCTGTATTTGCCTCTCCGATTTAACTTTTCTTCTTGTTGTTAGAGGACATTTAGTTTGTTTTGCTTTTTTTATGTTAACCATTAAATTACCTTATCCCAGATAGCACAATATACTCTAAAAATATTCCGAGAATATTCCTATAGGAATATTTATATATTCTCAAAACAGGCTATGAATATATATATATATACAGAATATTCTGAGAAAAACTGTATGTCCGCCCACAGAACATTTATGGAATATTCAATTGAATATACACAAAATTATTCTTATAATATTTTAAGAATATTCCATTCCGATTCGATGAATCTACCTGCAGTATTTGTAGAATGTTCAGAATTATATAGAGAATATTATGTGAAGCAACTGAAAATGTCCACAGAATATTCTAAGAATATTCCATTGCGATTCCATGAATCTACCCACATTATTTGTAGCATGTTCCGGATTATATAGAGAATATTCTATGGATAATACAGCTATGTTCACAGAATATTCCATTCCGATTCCATGAATATACCCACATTATTTGTAGAATGTTCAGAATTATATAGAGAATGTTGTGTGAATCTACTGGCTATATCCACACAATATTCTATTGCAATTCCATGAATCTACCCACATTACTTGTAGCATGTTCAGAATCATATAGAGAATATTTTGTGAATCAAATACAGCACGATTCATATTATTTTCACAGCATATTTAATGTAGTGAATTATTCTCTAAAACCTCATCTATAAAAAATTAAGAACATAAATCAATTGTACGTATCAGGTTGCAGTATCCATCCACTCTGAAGTGTTGCATGCACAAAATATGTAAAATGAACACAATAATACAACCTGTTACTCAAATTTGCTGTTTCTAATCCCCTGAAAGATCACGTTTTAACCATATTTTGTAAGTACAATAAAAAATTCTATGAATGATTTAGGACATTAACTTAACATCTGGACATTATCATTAAACACTTTAAGTCGATGATTGGTATATTAATGCCTGTAATTTTACTTATGTTGTTTTTATGCTTGTGGAACAACAAAACAGCAATGGATGTTAGAACAAAAATTTTATTTAAAGAAACAAAGTCAAGAAATAATAAAATCAACCAAATAATCCCAAAAAAATAATTCAATTCTAATAGTTTTACAAAATACAACTAAATTAGTTTTTTAAATGTTTTTTTGACCTTTCAGTAGCTTTACTTAACCATAACGCTATTTCACTTTCAATATATTTTTTTAATAACATATTTTCTGAAGTTTTTGAGTGACACACTTGGACAGCATCTGGAAATAGAAGCGATAAAAAAGCCCATTCACTCTTTTACTACTTACTTATGACAATACTTGATAAATATTTTTCGTGAAACTTCCGTTTCCCTTTATGTCCTTTATAACTGTAAAATACCGCCAATTGATCAGTCATTACCGCCGACATTATGCGACGTACAGCCTCTTTATAATTTGGTGCACCGTCAAGCGATAAACGGTTAGCCTATATAACAAACAAACAAATGAAGCTCGTGTAACGGCCCGTAAGCTAAGCTCAGCTTAACTTTGCGAGTGTAATTGGCAATGGCCAATTTAAACGAAAACAGTAAATAAATGTATTTACTGTTTTCGTTTAAATACAAAAGCGAAAGATGACAACAATTAATAATCAATTAATTTGCATTATTTGATTAATCCAATGATATTTTTGTTTCGATTAATCCCAAACTACTCGGTTACAACATAACTGTAGAGCATTGGTAAAAGCCACTGAAAAAAGCATTTGATTGATTAGGTATAATAATTAATTATTGCCATCTCATACACTTCACAATATAACCTTACTTTTTACCTATTAGATACTAAGGTATACTTTAAAAGTGTACCTTATTAGATAGTACCATTGAAATTTGTTTTCATATGCGGTTACATAGAATTAACGTGTAGCTTACCTTGAACGAATGGATGCAGATTCTTCTAATTATTTTACAATAACGTGTAACACACAAACCATGCAAAGGCACCCGCACACCACAAAAAACGAAAATGGCTACCTGGTCAAGTCCTCAGGTCATGTGACTGTTCAGTGTCGGAGCATAGCTGGGAGGGGAGAAACAGCACGAGCGCCGACAAAATTATCAAAAATTACTGCGTTTATTGTCACCAGAAACTGCATCCCTTGACGCAACACAAAGATTGTTGATTATGGACTCCTTAACAATAACGATATGGTTGCGTTCTTAGAATACATACTGTAAAAATGTGGTCTATTAGAATGTCCCATGAAATATTTTCAAACGAATAATGCTAGAATGTTTAGAACAACATTCTTACTTCATATATTTAAAATGTTTATAAAGTATTTTTAAAGAATAATCCCAGAATATTTATATAAATATTCTTATAATATTGTGTAAAAATGTTATATATCCAGAGTGTTTATGAAATATTATCATAGGAATAATTTTAGAAGTGTCTTTAACAAATATTCTTATAATATTCTATAAACATTTCATATATTTTGAATTTTCTTAGAATATTTTCACTAAAATAATCCTAGAATGTTTATACAAATATTCCTATAATATTCTGTAAAAAAATTATATATTTTGAATGTGTATAGAATATTATCATAGAAATACTCTTAGAATGTTTATAACAAATATTCTTATAATATTCTATAGACATTTCATATATTTAGAATGTTCTCAGAATATTTTCATTGAAATAATCCTAGAATATTTATACAAATATTCTTACAATATTCTCTAAAAAATTTATATATTTATAATGTTTATAGAATATTATCAAATGAATATTCTTAGAATGTATATAACAAATATTCTTATAATATTCTATAAACATTTCATATATTTAGAATGTTCTCAGAATATTTTTATTCAATAATCCTGGAATATTTATACAAATATTCGTATAATATTCTGTAAAAAGTTTCATATATTTAGAATGTTCTTAGAATATTCAAGATATATATACATTTAAATGCGATTATAAGAATATTCATAGAATATCTGTGCTGTCTGGGATATGGCCATGTATCAAATACTGCCCTACTATTTGTCAGAGAATAACTATCCGTAGCTTTGGCTTGGGTAAAATTTCGAAACTTGTGGCGTCTTCCAGCAACGTGCAATAGAATCGGTCGTGTTCGATTCCCGAATATGGGTGTTTGATATATTTTCCAATGGTCGAATTGATTTAATAATTAGCGGTAGCATCTTTAATCAATCGATTACCCGTTGTGCCGACAATTTGTTTTTGGACGTTCGGTTACAATTTTTTCCGAAATGGACTTTTAATACGGAAAACTCAAGCATTTCAAATCGGGAACAAAGACCGACCATATAGTATTTTGAAGTCATTTGGGACGTATCCAATTCTTTTCATTTGTGTACTCTCTGACTAAGAGAGCCTTTGCAAGGGGGTTAATATTCAGCTGAATCCGGGGAAATAATCGACCTACTGCAGATGAGTGTGCTGTAAAACATCCCGTAGAATCATTAAAATCTTAAGGGCAGCCGAACGTAGATCGTGAGAAATATACCTGCAGCACAAGCTTTGTTACCTTCGTAGAAGTTATTTTTGGTTACACCAAGACCCTGTGGTTGTCGACACCATTTATCGTTAGCGGTGCCGTACCTTCAATTTTTTTACCTTTCCTAATCTGGTGGCTCGAGATAAAATTGTTAGTGGAATTAGGTGGCGCCTGAAAGATTTGAATCGAAGCACCAGTAAGTATTAGTAGCGGGGATTTACTTGGAACCTTTTATAATAAATTGTTGTCAAAGTTTTTAATTCACTTACCTACTACCCTGAGTAAGAGCATATCTGTCTACGCTGTTAACTATTTGGCTAACGGAGCTAGCTGGCCCACCATCATTCTTCAATATTTTTGTATTAAAAAGATCAAATGACTTGGGAATCTGGCCAATAGAAAATATCGTTTGCAAATGCATGGTATTTCCTTACAAAGAGCACAAGTGGGCTTCGTTTCCATTATTACACAGTTTATACCGGGTGATTCATTAGAAGTGAGGACAATTTGAATTTCCCGCAAATCAAATAAATTATGAAGTTGGTACTAACTGATGATCTTTTATTTAATTGCAGTGGTGTATCATCATGCTTTCAGTAAATCATTTACTTATTTATAATCTACAAATACTGCTTCTGTTTTACCACAAATTATAAACTAACACTAGACACAGTCACGTTTCTTACATATTTTAGTGCATCAACTCTAAAAATTGTTCAAAATGGAAAATGTAATAAACCGCAAATGTCACACAACAATTAACGGCGGCACTGGTTTCTTAAATGACAGTCATGTCAGAAAAAAATTACTAACGAAATTCAAACCGTCAATCTAATAAAGCAAAAAATACTAAAACCTTACGCGCGAAATTCAAGCGATCATCACTTCTAATGAATCACCCGGTAGTTTTATTTTTATTCAGTACATGTAAGTTTTCACTTTTTAAGATTACGCTACAAGTTGTATGTGATGTTTCACTATACAATTATGAACATTTGGGTGTTTTAATGAAATACCACTTACGTAAACACCCTAAGGTTAAACTAGCGCGGCGCGTAACATTCATTGATGGATGTGAAAAAGGGAAATTCTGATATTCACCTTATTTGACTTGCTCTTTTCCACTAGGCCTATTAGCGATATATCAAAATAAAGGTTCTAAATGACGTCAGGTGTAACGTAATCAACTCACATATTTATAACGTCTTTAATGTACGTTATTAAGACGTATGAATGGCACGTCCTTAATACGTTATTATTCTGACGTCATTTGGGATGTGACATTTTGACGCGATTACGTTTATATTACGTGATTAATAGACGTCCCTTACGCCAAAAATCACCAATAATTGACGACTTACAGACGTCATTTTGCAGGCTGGGCTCCGACCAAATACAGATCCATTCAATAACTGAAACCCTGGTCTATAAAAAGGACTTTTCCAGAGCCAACTGGGAAGCTTTTGCCCAACGCGTCACAGAAAACATTCCGCCACATGAGAAAAACCCCACGACGTTTCTAAACAGTTACATATCTGTAGAGCAATGGAGACCTTGCCTATTTTACATGTTTCTAGCACAACCTTTTCAAAATAATCCAGTCAGCTAAATGGATGCTAACGGATGTAGGTTAAGTATTGCCATACACCGACATATAATTAACCTTTCTCAATGTACAAAAGCAGATGTGAAAGAAAGTAGAATAATACGTACCTCTTGAGTAATTTCCGCTTCTTCTTCGTAACTAAGAGCTACCACAGCCAGCATCAAATTGATTAGATAAAAAGAACCGAAAAAGACTACTACCGTAAAAAACGACACGCTTATGGGTCCACACGATGATAGAACCTGAAACAAACAGAAAAATCATTGTTATAAACCGTCAGAATATACCTGTAAAATATTAAAGGTTCCCTTGTTTACTTGAAAAGAGTCATTAAGCGTGTGTATAACATTGTTGACAAAGTTAGCGATCTACTTCTCACTGCGTTTATTTAGGATACGCTAAGAATGTACACTCGGAGGGTAAATTTCTAGGCAAACATAGGTTTTGTTGTGAACTAAACGAGGATTTCAATTTTTCTTCATTGTCTGTTTTCTGTTGTACATTCAGAGTCTCAGTCTAAATTTATTGAAATATAAGCGAAAATTCATTATATTACAGGGTGTAGTAGTTATATTTATCTACCGTAGGGAATTTACGACGGGATTATGAAAGAACACTTTGTCTACTTATCTGCTATGTTAAATGTGACACTGGCTGTAGCGAAAAACTATCAAAGATGAGTAACCCATCGTTTGCTTTACCATAAAAAATTGAATTAAAAACGTAATAATTTGAAATTCATAAAATTTGGGCGTAAAAGGGTGTTGCGGAACTCATTGAACTTAATAACTTTTAAATTTAATTTGTCATATATCACCTTCCAGTTCGTAACGGTTTTTTTTCCGCTTGAACATTTTTCTTAACATGCAAAATATACTCTAATTTAGATGTAAATTATTCCTGTAGCAAATTTGTTATTAATTTAGTATAGATTATTTATAGTTCTTTGTTTTGTCGTTAGAGGTTATCCTAGGGTTAGAGCTGCTTTTATCTAGTTCTTGGTCTTGTTGCTAGAGTGCACGCTTTGTACTTTTCAGCACTTAATGCTGTCTCATCTCCCTTTAATTTGCTCTTACGAATTCGCCATACTTCTTCTCCGTCAGTAAAGATTCTGTTTTCGCAGATTTCGAAGATTTGACATCGAGACCCGACTTGCCTACGTTACTTCCTAATTACTACGAAGATTCATGGCTGTTAGTTTGATTACATTGTATCCTTCAGATTAGTTGTGTTATTGGAGATTTTAGCTACCGTTGTTTTGTGAAGTAGTTTTGAAGTTACCGATACTTGGTCCGACGAGACCTATATCTACGATATAGTCTCATTATTTGTTTACTCCGAAGAATTTGCTCGTATTATATTGTTTATGTTTTGAATTGATTAGATCAATCGAAATTTAGTCATTGGTGCATCGTAAAATATTTTTCTTGTCACGTTTATGCTTTTATCCCCGAATTTGTTCGAGAAATCCGTAGTTGAGACAAAATGTTGCTTTTGACAGTGTAAACTTATTCTAATTATTGATTCTTTTTCAGTATCAATTACAAGATGAATATCCGATTGCCTCCGTGTCAGACGTTACAATTGCTATTTAGCAATATTTTTATGCAGCGCGATTCGCTAACTCTTTTATTTGCTTGTTGTGTTATTGTCTGTTACAGATTTACAGAACTCGCCCTTCTGAATTCAGGCGGCCGCTATGACCAAAATTCAAAGGCAAATTTTGTTATTTTCGTCGACACCTTGATTAACGTTTTATTGTATACTGGTTTTCGATACAATCGAATTGTAATTATTACATTTGTTTGAGATTCACTTAACGATTTAGCTCCGTTGTTTCTGCGGCAGTCTGTATTGATATTAATATTTTTTCTAACGCACGTGTTGATCTCTTTTTTTTTACTAAAAATTAATTTAGATAAATACTGACACAGCAGATCTACAGGGTGTTACATGACCGTATATAAAAAAAATTGGGCGATAGAGGGGATCAAGACGAGCACTTTTCCAAATAAACCGAGGTGTTTCGTTTGGGAGGCACTCCCAAAGATGTGAAATTTCGATTTCTTCTTTAATTTTTTTCTCAGCAATCATAAGAGTTACAAAAATGGGTTGCACGTCCTTGAATAGGTTTGCGGGTATGTCCTAATCGTTTTTGAAATTTTTTTTCAACATTCCTACCACGAAAGGTCGCACTCCTACTTGGGGGTGCGAAAAAATTTTGATTTCGACGAATTTGGTATCTGGGGGTTTTTGAACATGAAAATCACGAATTTGGAATTAGTATTTCCACGAAATTTGTTGTGTACATATTTGATGAGTTAAGGGAAAAGATTGTAGAACAGTTTTTAAAAATAACAAAAGTTATACTTATTTGAAGATTGGGCCTTCGGGTTACAAAGTGTCCCCCGCCTATTAGTGAGTGATCTAATTTCGCTTACGCCAGGTTTTTTCCAGTGCTCGAAGCATCCCAAATAGTGATTTTCCCAAAATTTTGCCAATATGATTAGCAAGGTCTCTTACTGCTAATCGACGGTTTGCAAGTGCAAATACCTTGATTTTATTGACCTGTTCTTCATCAGTTTATGTGGATGGTTGCCCGCGTCGCTCTTCGTCCTCAACGCGTTGTCTACTTTCATTGAACATTTTGTACCAATCAAATGTTGTTTTTGATAGAGGTTAATCCCCGTAAGCCTTCTGCGACATTCTCACCCAATCAATTGTTCTTTGAAAAGCAGATACACCGTTGATTACGCCAAAAGGAACTCTAGTAAACTGGTATAGATTTCTGGCACTTTCGAATGCAGTGTACTATGCAATCAAAAATGAGTTACTGTCGAGTCACCTATGGAATTTTTGTTTACATGGGAAATCGTACTTAAAGGGGCAGTATACCCAAATTTCATGTTTTCGTCTAAAGATAGATTAAAAATATCTAAGAGTAACGGTGAAAACCGCAAGTCGCTACGCCGTTTCGTTATTAAATGGCAAGGTGTCGAATGTAAAAAACGGCCGTTGTGACGTCATGCCGACAAATCGGTCGGTGGCGCGCTATAGCAATATATGGATTCGATGACGTTTGACGTGTTAATTTGAGACTGGTAGTCTGTGATCTGCATTATTTTCAAAAATGCTTAACTTTGTGTTTTCCGCTGCAACAATAATTTGAAAAATGCCAATGCTACATTGCAAATTTTCCCCGAGAAAAGAAGGGGCCGTGTCGAAATAAAGTCTGGAAAAGTAGAAAAAACCGCTGAATCATAGATAGTCACGCCGTTTGCAGTGCCCACTTTAAAGATGATAATTTTTTGTGGAAGATACAAGAAGGAAAGGACCTTGTGCCTCAGCATAAAGTTTTGAGAAGGCTAACAATACTGAAATCCCTTCTTTACATCTCATAAGAAACAAAGGTCCTAATAAAGCTACAAAACGTCAGTCAACTTATCTAAGAAAGTAAAATTGTGTCTGATTGCCTATTGTGGGTAACGATCAACTTCGTAGTGGAGAAACCAGTTCAACATCAAACATATGCCACCATCAAACAGAAGAACTGAATCAAATGGAACCAATACCGCTTACTGAAAGCATAGGTATCCAATCTCAGCTGGGTACAGAAATTTATTACAAATATTCAAATTTATATGAGGATATATGTTCGGATGATCCTTCAGTAAGGTTTTCTTGTTGTTTTTAAAAAGAAAGGGAACTAGAATATGAAAGAACTGACGCGTTTGGACTGCTTGGGTCCGTGCCGCCGCAGCTACGATGTCGGGATGACGTCACATGTTCTGTTTTTCAAACTTTCATCGTTAACAATTTGAAAACTACTCATCGTAGAAAACTCCGGTTTGAAATTTTGTTCTTAGATTTTCTTCTACCATTTTTTTTGATTTTGGGTATACTACCCCTTTAACTTAAACTTCCAAATGCGACTCGAAAGCAACTCATTTTTGATCGCCCGTTACTTCTTTTCTTGAGAAAGAATTGGGACTTGGTGGTAGCCACTCTGCAGATCTATAGTACTGAATACAGTGTAATTTGAGATTTTCGTGACAACTTCTTCTATATTTGGTAGTGGATATGCATCTAGTTGCGTGTAGCGATTTATAGTTTGCGAATAGTCAATAACCATCCTTTTCTTATGGTTCGTGTTATTAGTGATCAAAACTTATGCTCTCCAGGGAGACTGGCTTTCTTCAATTATACCTTCTCGTAACAGTTCCTTTACTTCAGCAGCTATGAATAGTTCATCCTCATGTGAGTGTTTGCGGGATCTTATTGCAATTGGTTTGCATTTGCATTCTGTAGATAAGTTAGTAAATAATGGTACATCGGGCACGGTTGCTTCGGCACTCGAGTGCATTTCCAATACATCATGACCAATGATCATGTCTGTGCATAGGCCTTTTACAATGAGAAGTTCTAGATTTCTGTATAAGCATTCTCCAATGCGAATAGTTTCTCGTGTGAGATGTTTCACTTGTGACTTGAGAGATGAGGAAGCCATTGATACAGTTTGTTTACAATTTTGTTTTCTTAGATTTAGCAGATTCGCCATCCTTCATAATTGAAACTGATGCTGCTTTCTGTATCGATAAGAGCGTCAGCCCGAACACCTTTTACGAATGCTATAACCATAGCTTTTTGAAGCGAAGAAGGTGCAGCAGCTGTGATATAAGCAGTGTAGTTTTTATATTTTTCTTTAAAACAGGCAGCGCTGTTTTTACTGCGACAAACAGTTGGAAAATGGCCTTTCTTTCCACAGGTATGGCACTCAACATCCACTGCTGGACAGTTTTTCCGAGCGTGGACAGGGCCACCACAAAAACAGTATTTACGTTTTGAATAATTTTTGGTTTACGTAGATTTTGGTATTACAGCTACTGTTTCCACAGAGAAAGACGGATTAGGTGAAATTCCATTGTCGATAGAAGATTGAGTTTTAAATAGTGCAGAATTTCTTTCAGCTGTTTCGATTGGCAAAGATAGAGTGTAAGCTTGATCTAAGGATAATGTTAGATTCTCCAAAAGTCTCTGACGGATCTCTGATGAAATAATTCCTGCAATAAATGCTCCTCGTATGTTCTCGTTTTTATTTGTCTCAGCATCCACTGCAGTCAATTGGCATTCCTTAGATAATTGTTTAAGTGCCTGGAGGTAAGTGTCAATAGATTCTCCAAACCGTTGACGTCTCGTGGCAAGCACATGCCTGGCGTAAATTACGTTTCGAGGCTTGATGTAT